ATAATAATAATAATAATAATAATAATAATAATAATAATAATAATAATAATAATAATAATAATAATAATTGTAAAGTGTATAATACATAGTTCCCTAAAAATGTCCATCAGAACACCTCCTTATAATTATAGTAATATAGCCTAGGCCCACAAACAATTGCATCTTCTTGGCAAATGCGTTTCTATTCATCTCTGGCTGATGGGTAATGCCTTGCTTGAATGGCTATCGGCAGAGGGGTGTAAGGTATTATATTGAATAGCTGACTAAAACCTTACCAAAAACAGTGATTAATATTATATCTTCGTAAGTATTTATCCAATTTTAACTGGAAAAGCGTGAAAATGTTCAAAATCATGAAATACAACATTATTCGTAGCCCACTATATAATTTATGGCATAACATTATAAAATAAATGTGCATCGGTCAAGGATTGCTTATGTGTAGGTGTGATAACCTAAGAGATTAATCACAAGATAAAGGCTAATCCTTTTTTCCATTTAGCCATGGATCTCACCCTGCAAAATGTACTGGACCTATTCCGAGGATTATCCCGGCCACATCTTGAGGATTGTAATAATTATGGTTTATCTAGATACAGTAGATATTCATGAAATATATAAATTAAAAGATCATAGGAATACCATAGACTGCAGTTGACTATACACAATAATTCCTAGAAGTAAAACTCTCCTCGAACAACGTTCCATTTATTTTTTTCGTCTAGGTTTTGGGGCCAGAATAAATCACCATTTCTAAAATCAACATTATTAATAAATCTTAAATTTCAAAAATTATGATTTGATAATACGAAAAATTGAACAATTCCAAATAAGGTTTTATGGAAGCAGGTCAACTCGGCCACAAGTCAACTCGGCCACAGTCAACTCGGCCACAAGTCAACTCGGCCACAAATCAACTCGGCCACAAAAAGTTCGGCTGCAGTCAACTCGGCCACAAGTTAACTCGGCCACAAGTCAATTCGGCCACAAGTTATTTATAATTAAAATAAAATGTAAATATTACAGTTTCTGCATCCTTTTTCTTCAATATGATTAAAATGAAGTACACAGTATATTTTAGTAAAATTCTGATCATCGTCTCATCGTCGTGAGATCGTTGTATACATTTCTTCACCCTGTACTCTTATTCAACAGAGAAATCCCGCCACTTACGGAATGGAATAAAATCTGACAATTGTAACATTAACAATTTAAGCAATCTTAATTATTAAGAAAAACACATATATTAACGTTTAATTTTGTTTACGTTAAAATACTGACATAAAACATGAGTACATACTGTAGATCTAATCATAAAAAATTGAAATAGAAAAACCACATTATGATTTTTTAAATGTTAAAAATTTATTTTGAATCCGACTAAGATCAAATGAATGCACGATAGCGTGCATTTTGATACTATTTTCTTCAGAACCACGCCTGAGAATTAGGCCTACGTTAAAATCAGGTGGGGTGCAGCATCTAGTATCAATTATCCACAATAGGAACAATTGGTATTGTTGAGTGACAGACTTCAGTCCTTAATAACGATAATAAAGGTGATAACAACAACAATATTAATAGTAATATTTATTTTAACAATACTAATAGTAATAATATGGTAATAATAACGATATTTAAATATCTATTTTAATAATACTAATTAGTGTTAATAACATTGAAGGTGATAATAGCAATAATAACAGCAATAATAAATTAAAGATAACGTTTATTTTTTATAATAATAGTAATACTAATTATTAATAATAATAATAATTATGATACTTATAATACTAGGCCTACTTAATAATAATAGGGTAATAATATCGATAATAAAGGTGACAACAACAACAACAACAATAATAATAATAATAATAATAATAATAATAATAATAATAATAATAATAATAATAATAATAATAATAAATAATATGATAATAATAATAATAATAATATGAGAAAAATACGAATAAAACACCAATAACAATATTTTTAAAATTACTATTATTAAAATAATAATACTAAGACTAATATATAATAATAATATGAATAAAAAAAAATCGAGAATTTTGTATTATTTATATTGTAACAATAATAATATCAGCAAGAATTTAAACAATACATAATGTTAATGCTAAGACTAATAATTAATATTAAAACTAACGGTAATAAAAACAACAATAATAATAACAATGACACCAATAATAACAGTAATAACAGCAATAATAACAAATGTGGCCGAGTTGATCTTGTGGCCGAGTTAACTTGTGGCCGAGTTGACTTGTGGCCGAGTTGATTTTTGGCCGAGTTGACTTGTGGCCGAGTTGACTTGTGGTCGAGTTGACTGTGGCCGAGTTGACTTGTGGTCGAGTTGGATCGAATTCGGTTTTATTAGTTATTGAAAGTTATGATTTAAATGCCACATGTCAAAGGTGCCGTGGTTTGACTGATTTTTGTGTTAATCATCGTAAGGACATAATTTATAAACAAAACAGTATTGCCTTTCTATCAGAACACCACGAGGAAATATGACGTAAGCAATGAGTGTTTCCTTTATGACAATACCATACTATTACAGACTAAGCGATATTACTCCCGATGAGGTATTACGATACCATAGGTGTTTTACCTCTTGCTGTAGTATACAGTTACTGTACCGATCACTCATTTCATTTTAATCGTTTAATCCTTTATTGACATTGATTTGATTCAATAAACCATGCTCTGTTGGTTTTTGTTAGGGTGGGCTGTACTTAAGTGGGAAATGTTCATTTTAGTGGAAAGTAGTTAGCGCTTTGTAATAATATAGAAATAATTAGCGCTATAGCAGTACCAAGTAACAAAAAATATAATATAACGGACAAGCGTTTTGTATAACGCGGTGTCCGTTGCAAACTATGTGTGATAGAGAGGGAGGTCTTACCAGGGAACAGTGAAATTTGTAATTTCACACTGTTCCCTGGTCTAGAGAAAGTATGTATCGTGTAAAATGCCAGTTTTTTGCGGTCGCCGCTTGTCCACACAGCACGTCATAGGCCTAGTTTCTAAATCTAGTTCACCTTTTACAAAATTGTCCTACTGTGTAATAAGCCTAGATAATAAACTTACAGAAAATAATTCTAACATTAGTTTGGAAGATATCCGTGAGAGTTAATCACGAGTTTATCTAGCGAATGTTTATTTCATTTTATGTACAGAAGGTCTATGAAAAAAGAAAAAAGAAAAAAAAAAGGTCTAAAAAAAAAGAAAAAAGAAAAAAAAAAAAAAAAACACAAAAAAACCGTGCACTGCTTATCGGTACCGGTACTGTACAATAGTGTATTCGAAAATATGTTAATTTTCATACAATTAATTGTTATCACTTTAACATAATAATATTCACGTAGTCAATTGTTAATAACTTGTAATGGGATGTGAAAACTATATATATTTTCAACACTTGTTTTAAATGTCAAGCACTAGACACCATTAAAGAGGCAACACCCCTTACTATCCACTTTAAGATATTAACCATTGTGATGAGACCAAAACATTGAATATTAGGCTTTATTTAATATTCCCTATTGAATGCAAACTTCAATTTTTTTATTTGATGAGAAAATGTCATCTCCAGTGATTGGCTAATTCTGTGGCACGCGAGTTCAAAATACAAAGTGGCTTATTATAATTAGCAGCGCCGAAAAAAGAAGAAAACAACATTGCCAACTAAGGTGGATTGGTTTAGTTTACCTATCTTTCAAGTGAACTGTCCAACCAGACCTTAACAGCAACATCATCTTACTATCTTCATTGGCCTAGTAGTAGCCTTTATATACCGCACAGATATACTTAATTTCTCTCTTATGAATCAAAGACTTAATGTTTGTACAAATAGTAAAATTATTGTATTGTCACTGTTTATTGTCAATAAAACCAATTAGCATCATTGTTAGTGATGGACAATGAATCACTTTTAGAATGCATTCTTCCTTCAACAATGCATCATTCATCGATATTGCTTTGTCACTAGTTTACGTTCTCCTTTCATATGGAAAAAGTTAGTCTGATGATCAATCTTTCCGAAAGTTGTTATGATTTCCTTAATAAGTAAAACTGTGGCTGAATTGTTCCTACGCTTCGTCTAAATGGTGTCTGAACTATCGTTTTAAGGCATCCAGTATGACGTCGAGGCCCATCACCGGACACCCAATACCAATATATATTATGCACAGAAAAACGGATTTGAATGTTATTTGGAAAATATATCTGAAGACCCCCGTATTGCACTATTCTCTTTCTAAAAAGAACAGGTAAGTTTTAGCAATAGCCAATTTCTTCTGGTTAATCATAGCAGCACCATTTGTGCTTATTATTTATTTAAGAATTACTTGAACTGTATAAAAAAAAATGGTGTTTTTTTTAGGGCAGGTTACGAAGCTTACGTTTGTTTGCTTTTTTTTTCATTTTTGATTTTTTTAAATGCCACCAATCTAAAGGTGTGTGTTCTAGTACGTTATGTTACTATCCGAGGAGTATCCAACAATTTGTCGTATTGTCTGTCTGTCTTTTTATTAATAAGAGTACGCAAATACTAATTAATAGATGTTGGCAGATATACGTCTACAAAAGGTTGAATACATTTCGAGTGAAAAGATAAAAGGTCAAGGCCAAAGTTCACGAAAATTTGAAAACAATTAATCTTACACCTCGACCAAAAGAAATATATTTAATCGCCCGTGTCGCCCATAAACGCCTGCTTGTATTATTCAGTATACAGACATAGGGCGTGTACTGGTATAGTTAATGTTTGGTTTAATAATTGTTGTTAATTTTCAACAATTTATTATTTATAGCCATCACTAAATTTGATTGTATAACTTTTGTTACACCTTAGAATATCTATCTTGTTATAATTAAATGTTAAATATAAGCCTAATGGGTGTTAGGCCTACGTTGTACAGCGTTGATAATCAAACTTTTGTAATTGCAGGCTACAATGAAACGATATCCTTACATCGTCATCTGTGTATACATTGTAACTTCAGTGGGATGTAATTTAACAGGTGCCGCTAAATTAGAGCATTCTAGAAAGAAACACAGTCCAGGTGCAGGTGGTGGACCAGGTGGTGTAAATTGTGGACGAGGTGATTTAGTTTCTCGATGCAAGTAAGACATTTTACATTACCTTTTAAAATTAATTTATCTCAAATGACGATAATGCACTTTAATACCGCTAGACTTTAGTGGAGTAATATTCCTACCCTACTAGCTCGGTTAGGTGGGGTATGCGGGTCATTAGGACCTTAGTGAAGTGACATCCCTACCCCTTAATGCATATAGTTATTAATAGGCTATTGTAGACAGTGCATTTAATTTGTCTCTTCTTTTTTTATTTTGTATACAAGACAAAAATGCGGATATCGGCCCATGAATGCATATGCGGCAATAAAAGAAACTGAATTGAATTGAATATACCACTTATTCAATCCTTGATCATTCCATCATACAACTATAATACATTCTCATATGGTTGAGATGCAACTTCTAGGAAAAGCTGTATAAATAGCAGTAGAAATTATAATAAACCTTCAAGATAAATTTAAATCATTACGTAACACTGTGGACATAATATTATAAACATCTAAAAATGATTGATACGATAATATCATCTTTTATGTTCCTCTCTGAGCACTGTTATCATTATATATCTATTTGTTTATATTGTGTTTACAGTACTATGCAGCAAATCTGCATTATATATATATTATATAATATATATATACACATATATACACACACAAACACACATATATACATATATATGTATATATATATAAATATATATATAATATATATATCAAACCATATGTAATATCCATATATATAGCCTATATAATATAGCCTATATTTAACAATATGTAATATGTAATATGTAATGTATATATATATAAATATATATATAATATATATATATCAAACCATATGTAATATCCATATATATAGCCTATATAATATAGCCTATATTTAACAATATGTAATATCCATGCATATCAATTTTAAATTTCCTGTCATTTCATTGAAATTAGCAATAATATTCTCTTTCCATCTATTGTGTAACCTAAAGCCTTATTTCGGGGGTTTCAAAGAGTAGGAAGTTCAAATTGTCGGAAAACGTTAAATTGCTTCCTTTTATGCTTCTAATCGTGCCTCTAATATTATTGTAGTCATACTCGTCAATCTATTGCTAACTAAATAGAGTGCTAAGTATCGAATATTGGTAGTGCAGCTACACCTAAAGTTAAATAATATCTATCAGGTCATCTGATCAACGTAATTGTCCTTCATTTCTTTTCTTTCCGGAGTATCAAACAAACTTAACAGCTGAAAACTCAAACCAGGGCCACTAATGCACGCGTGTTTCAAAGACACACGTGCTGTCCAACAAACGCACCTGTTTGCGTATGCTTTTACACTGTCCCTTTGTAAGACCTTAGCAACATTATCCAATGGGTGGGGCTAATAGCGGAAAGGTCGATGTTGGCAACGAGTTACGGATTATGCAAAAAGTAATGCATTCTTTCTCGGTTTCCTTTGGTATTACTATAGGCCTATTATAAACATCATTTGGTGGTTGCATTAACGTATTATACCTCATGCATTCTAACTAATAAGGATGCTTTAACTATGATATTCAAGCCTTACTGTATTAATTGCTACTTTCTCAGGATTGATGTTGATTACAATATATTGTTTCGGATGATGACATTGGATGAAAGTAAGTAGACCCTATTATTATTCTGTATAATTATAATTTTATCAACATGATATTAACATGAACCATCGCCACCAATATTATTACACAAATATCTAACTACTACTACTGCCGCTGCCGCTGCCGCTACCGCTACCGCTACAGCTACCGCTACCGCTACAGCTACCACTACCACTACCACTACCACTACCACTACCAATACCACTACCACTACCACTACCACTACCACCACTACTACTACTACTACTATTACTACTACTACTAGTATACCACCTTGTCCCCAAAGCTTCAACTGCAATTGGTACCACCACTTAATTTACATGAAATTTCTCCGGCAAAATATTATTTTTAAAGTTTCTGTTCCTCTTTTTAACTTGATATTTCATCTGTTGTCTCTTACCAAACAAGGTTTGCTTTTAGACAATCAATTCTAACTTAAGCCGGGTACTCACGGTCCCCGACGGTCTCGAATTGACGCAAATCTACAAAGAACACAACACCACGTTGAGACGGCCACCGACAATGAGCAGACATCGCTTCGTTTAGCCCTTACATGAGAATTGGATTCGTCGTACGACGTAGTGAGTGCCCGCGACTAACATCCCAAAACAGCTTGTACCATAATCCAATTATTATCGAATATTTTTCAGATTCTCCATCTTTTGAATTCGTTCCATTCGACTATGACACTTCAAGATCAGAGGCAGTCCAGTTTTGTCCTACAGGCACACACTTTGCAGTCATCATTGACGCAGTGGTATTGGACAATGCAGCAGCAAAAGCGTTTGGCATTGGTCGTGATATCAACTACTGGGTTGATGTAAGTCTCGATTTAGATAATGTCAGCAGCTTCTTGCTACAAAGTACCCAGTGCATGTGCTTTAATAATGACTTCCATATTCATACCGACGAGTCCACATTCATGGAGGTTAAGGCAGATAGATATAAAATAAAAAAGAAGAAGTCAATGGACAAAAAGATGATGAGAGGTGTCATTTGTCAAAAAGATGGTAAGGCATATTTCATAAAATGTAATTTCATATATATCCTCCTACGGTCATACCTCTTGATATGAATTAGGTGTTTTGCAAACTACACAATTAGTACACTGCTATAGTTAGCCTAAATAATGTTTTCTTCCAGAAGTGACAACGACAAAACCACAGGCACCCACCCCATCATCTAAGTCCACATCTAGCTTTGGAGCAAGTATATCTCAGTCTAATACGATCCTGTCCCACCAGAACCCTACAGTCAGTATTGCCAACACAATTACAGAAATGAACGTAGGTCTACCGACAAATCCAGCGTCAACACAGAAAGCATTCGATTGGATAATATTTCTTCTATGCGTCATTGCAATTACGCTAATAATTGGTTTGTTCGTAGGCTGTGTAATTTGCTGGAGAATAAAATCTAAAAAACACCAAACACATGACAATCATACGACTGTAGCATGTGCTATCAAACCATACTCAGTAGGTACGTATATTAGGTTAGGTTTAATAAGTTGTCTCGTAAGTCCTTTCGTAGTAAAGTACGCATGCCTATGATGAAGAAAGCAAATTTATACGCTTATGTTCTGCACAATTTGTGGAGTTTTATTAATTTCAAGAAATGTTGTAGTGAGAAAAATATCGCCTACTGCCGTATCGATGAAGCGAACTTCAATGTTCTTTCAACTGAGCTTAACTGCCTTATTCGCCAAAACTGTTCCCGAAGTACTACTGTAATTATTATCAATTAAACAATTATTGAATATTTTGTTGTATTTGATCAGGCCGTTCTTATTTCCGTGGATCAACAATGTTTTAATAATAGCACTTAAAACTCTGTCCAGGTTATTCCAATTTCTTTGAAAAAAAAAAAAAAAAAAAAAAAACAAAAAACTGTTGTATGCCCATATATAGCCATGATGTGCCTATATATTTTTCATGATTTAATGTCATCACGGCCATATTTAGGCATGTCTCTTGTTTTCGTAAAATAAAATCTGATAGTCTGCACATGGCTTTATAGATACAGACAACCGCATAATATCATATGATTTTATTATACTTTTGACATGTGCACACTAAAACTCCAAGACAACTTAATGATTCACTTTGGTTGATAATAATGATGCTTATTTATTTCTTGCAAAATTAGATAGTTCGATGATTCCTTCAGCCCCACCAGCCTACGAATCACCAGAAGGCATCAAGCACCCTCCTGCAAACCCGGTCAGAAAGAGTGGCATTCCAGCCGAGATAGGTGTGTATTCCGGCTACGAAATCCCGATGGAAAACCCACAAGCATCACACTTTCAACAACCAGCTGGACTATACAATGGCAGTACTGGGTATGCGGATATGGGATCTCCTTCTGGATTCGAAAACCAACCCGGTGACATGTATGATGAGTTGCAGCTAGGTACCTGTACATCTCAAGCGGAATATAGCTACGCATACGCCGACAGAAAGACAATTGTCGACCAACTACATGATATGCCGAACCAACGTAACTAACTACTGAGGAAACTGGCTTTAGAACACGACCCAGTACAGAAAAATGAAAAAAAAAAATTTAACTGTAATGCTATCTCTATTTATTGTTACTGTATGGTAATTGAACCAGGGGTGTCCCCGGGGAGCGAGTTCCCCGATGCCCCCAATGAGAGCAAAGTGGGCGAGGTCAAGAGTCGCTTAAAAAGTTTCGAAAGTGGTCCATTTTGACAATTTAGGGGTTCCCTAAATTAATCAATCTTAGAGTCTCCTAATAGGTACAAAATACATATAATTTATTTAAAAAAATGATTTAAATGATACCACATACCCGGTAATGATAAAGTAACATATACACTAAAGATATAATAGACAAAGATCTTTTAAAATGATTACCATCTAATCCTAAATGATTACCATCTAGTTATCTTAAATGATTACCGTCTAATTCAAAAGAATCTAAAATCAGTTAAATTAGTAAGCCTTTGAAACCCCTAAATTTTCGATGTATTTTAAAAAGGGGATGTAAATGTCTAAATATTCTGTAATGTATCAGTACTATTATAATTATATTTTCTGTAAGGAAGTATACAAATAGTATAGATGTACAAGTACAGATATATTTACTAATAAATATTAGAATGCACTCTATGTTAATAGTAAATAAGTAATAAATCTTGTTCACTTTATTCTTATAATAAAGTAATCTTACCAACCAACACCCATTACCTTTCAGTATTAAATAAACGTATACTACAAATATCTCTGAATTTATTATTTTGACAATAAAGTATCTTGTACTATTGAGTGACGGTTGGAATATGCTATGGTGTCGGGGCGATATGAAGACGACGGAGTTTACGATGATGGCAATACATACAGTACATATGTTATTTCTTCATACACACACACACACACATATGTATATGTATATATATATATATATATATATATATATATATATCAAAGAAAGGTAAATACAATGTTCGAATAAAGGACATAATAATACATCGTGTAGCATAGCTCTCAACAAATGTAGTCCTGTAAATAAATGAATAAAGAAATTGTGTAATAAAATGCCTCTGACGGGACTCGAACATACGACCTCTCGCTGTTAAGGCGAGCGTCATAACCATTAAACCACGGAGGCTTCATGGTTGAACAGATTGAAATACCACCAGATACACTCCATTACACTGATAATAATTACAATACTGTAATGATGTTGATAATGATGAAGAGGATGCTGATGATGGACATTTTGCGAAACATAATCCACTGACATACCACAGAATACCGTACTAATCACAGTCACAAATTGTTGTCTATTTACATACCATTTTCAACCATTAAAGAATAAAACTTACCCGTCTTGCGATCATCACAGGATAATATCTATGGAAACATAATGCTGTTAACAGACACACAATGTTGGTCACAGCATCACAGTAACGATACTAATCCACAACGGCAGATAAGCAAGACACATTATCGTTATTCACAGATAGCACATACTGCTGACCACCGATATATAATATTTTCCGAATACACCCACAATGCAGTACGAAGACATAATGTTGTCTACAGGCACATAGACCTAATGCTGCCTAAAGGCAAAGTGTTGGATCCTTGAATTCATAGTAGAGGAGGTCCAAGAAGGGACTTTCAGAGGCAGATGGTCCTCCCACCCGAGACCGACAATGGTTAGGCTGAGGGAAGAAATGTTATGGTTTGCACATCTAGATGTCCGCAAATGGCACCCTCAGAATGAAATATGAATACAATTTACTATTTTTCTCCATTACATTTTTTTTTAGGGGGAACGGGCTGGCTAACTCCCCTCCCCACACCCTTGATCCGCCACTGGCATTAATCTGTCCAAAGACACGTAATGTCGTCAGCAAATGGCAGGCCACTTCTTCGTGTTTCATGGCCAACTTCACAATATTGACGATTCCGGCCAGACTAACCACACCCCAAAAGTTTGATGAAGGTGTAAACCACCGCTCCTTAAAATCGACCACCTTAGTCCTCAAAAGATATCTAGGAGGTGTGTTTCAACGCAGCATCATCCTGAGGGAAGAACAATTATGTGAAGCCTATTTAAATTTTAGATGCTTTAGTTATGAGCGTATGATACCACCCGTTCGATTTGTGTCTCGTAACCTCCTAATGTTGTTCTTAGGTTCTCAGGGCATTTTAAATGAAGTATGTGATGAGTTTGTCGTGCTTGTTCATTCAGACATTCCTATCAATAGCCGTGGATAAATAATTTAGAAGGATAACTCATCTGCTGGTTTTGAACCATCTCGATTTGCCTTTGATGACTTTACTTGCGTGAGTCTCAAACCGCTTGTCCAAAATTCCAAGAACAAATATGGCAAGAGATGTGAAACCGCTTGCCGGTTATTGATATTAATGTTTTTTGTCTGCCTTTTAGATGTATAATATTGTCTATACATTTGTTCCAGCTTAGGTCATCCTTGCATATTGTAACACCAAGAAGCATTATGCAGTCATATCCGTTTAAAATACTAACAAACTAGTTTCAAAGTTTGAGTCATGAGAGAAAAGCTAGTTATTACGTAAAACCACCAACGTTATCGGCCAACTTGGTCCTGAGTATAAGAATAGAATGACCTTCCCTTTTGTATATTTCGCTTGTATTTAAAAGGTATGACGTACCTTACCTTTAAATGAGATTGGTATCAGGAATAATCACTACAAAGAACAGATTCTCTGTGCTTCCAAGTCCATTGCTTTGTTCTACTACAGTGCACTCTTGCAATGTAAGTTGATTTTATTTAGTATTTATATATTATATAGCCATATAAACAGTTTAAAAGTATAAAATGTGTATATACATAAATAATTTATATTAGTACTTATAGCACAATTATAGCATACTTATAGCATTCAATGTAGATGAAAAAGGTCTTATTGGTATTAGCCCTAGTACATTAGTATTATAAGATGATTAAAGATAAAAACATTATTCATTATATTTTTGTGGAAAGTTGAAGAGATTGTGTCATATGGACCATCAAGGTATGTAATATTGTAATATTATAATTTTAACTCTTATATATATTTTTTTGAAAATTAATTATTTGTTTATTTAATACAGTATCAGTGTTAGTTTTAGACGTGGAATTACAATTCGGATTTAAAATGAAGTTACTGATCCTCATGTGGACATCTTGACCGAGGGTGTAGGGTGGCAGTTTGTTGGTAATAAAATGACATTAAAATTAAAGTTTGAGGGTGCCATTTATGGCCATCTAGAAGTGTCATATAAAAAAAAAAAAAAAAAAAAATGGAACCAGGGTTGGGGCTGAGGTAGTCTGGACCTTCCATCTGTAAAATTACCTTTCTGGGCCACCTCTGTTTTATAATCCTGGATATCTGCCGCCTAGATATGGTAATCTATATTATAGAATCAACGCATTTATTCCTCTTGCGAACAGTGTTACTAATGCCCGTTGCACACTAGACAAAATTTTGCGCAAGATGCATGCTAAATATTACACAGACTTTCAATACTAATACAATGAATTTCAATACTTTCCAAAAGTCAGTAACATTGATATGCAGTAGTTTTCTGTATTTCAATTGTTTTGGGACAGGTCTTTGATGCAGTGGTAATGGCTTGGTTCCCAACCTCGAGATCTAAATCCCTTGTGTGCTTAAGCAAGATAATTTGCTGTATCAGATACAGTACAATGTATCTGCATTGCTTCTCTTAATCTAGGAGTATAAATGGGTACTTGGTGTGTTGCCTGCTACTGCGCCGCTTATATGGCAGCAACTCATGGACCAAATAACCAGAGAGGGAGGATACGGCTAGGTCTCGGTTAAAGATAACTTCACTTCGCGAGCAGGCACAATGCCTGTTATATATGTCATGATCATTGTAGGCCTCTACACTCATTTTTTTTTCTCTTAGTAACATTACATTTACTGAGAGGCGTGCTAACCTTGCATGCATGTGCCTTCACATAGATGTGACGTAGCAGGGAGAGTTTTATAACTTTTTTGTGTATATACATATGTATATGTATATATATATATATATATATACAATAGATGCATATTAATACACACACACTCACACATGTATGTGTATGTATATAGTCTACAGATGTATATATATAAAGCTTAAGTTATAAAAACAAAAGATAATAGAAACAATAAAGAAATGATATGCTCAACATTTTCTTTTTTAATTTATAATGTATATATGTATATATATATATATGTGTGTATATATATATATGCATACAATGTATATATATATATATTCACATATATATATATACACATATATATAATTTGTCAAGTAATTTGTGTAATAATCATTGTTATATTATAAAAAATAACGAGATAGAAATACAAAATATTGTTATTCTGTTGTTTTTGAATGAATAACGTAACTAGAACTATCATTAACAAATTAATATTGGATTACATTTCCAGTATGCCGTTGCTTCACTACTTTTTTGTCGTAATCTGCTTATATACCATTAACCCAATGGTCCAAGGAAACGCATTGGATAGACACGGTGATGTAGAAATTGGCGACAATGGTAAACTATCGTTACTTGACAGAAGGAAACGTATGCCCGGTTGTGATTTTATATGTCGATGTTGGTGAGTAACCTTCAAACCCGCTCCTTGTTGACATTTATTTTCTTCAGCATAACATTTTATTTCATTAATTTGTCTGTATAAAATTGCGTCTTCTTTTAATTGATTGAAAGTAAACCCCTGACTAGAGACGATCGACACATCACAATTGTGATATTAGGCCTCTGAGATCCACTATAATGGGGTTGAAAATTGAAGTGTAATAAACTCATTAAAAAAGGTGTTATTTTAAAAGTAACTCCATAACGATAAATCCCAACTCGTCCTTATCTATTTTTGCTTTGTCATTCCTATATTAGACAATCCACCTCAGTTATTGTTCCTGCTGTATAGAAACACGTTTCCGCATAAGGTTGTATAAGCTTAAGTACAGTTGATTTTAAGCCGAAGCGTAACCTTTAACAAAAATACAGAAACATGAGTGATAAATTGACCGTCACAGCAGTTTATATTTATTTAAAAAAATATATAACACAAAGATGCGAATTAACCACAAGACAGAGGGGTAAACAGAAATCTTGGCGAATGATTCTTTAATCCACCACAATCACAATATGTTTCCACTGCGATGATTAATACTTACCTCGTACCTCAATAGAAAATTTACCACCGGATATACAGGGAAATTCAAACGAACGCTGAACTTTGAGATAGTGAATACCTAATTGTAATTGTTCTGTATTGTGCCTTGTGGATGACTACAAGATAATGGGTGCCTGAAACATAAAAGAAATTTAAAAAAGTGTTTTATATAAATGTTATTCTTTTTCTTCTTCTCATTCCACTCTTCCCCTTCCTTCTTGTTCTTTGGTCTTCTTGTTTCCTTTTTGATGGGACTGCTTTTTTCGTGTTGCCGGCCAAGTAAATAATAGTAAGCCTATTGACGATTTTTGATCTAAGACATGCTACCGTTTACAATTTTTTCTCCTTTATTGCAATTTTATACAAAAAACCCCATATTTTCTAACTTGATTTTAACGTATTTCTCTTGATTCGTACTTTCCGTTGCCCTTTCTTATTTTGATAAAAAGAAGCAGCTGTCCCGGGATTATGTCGTCGTTTTGCTTTTACAATTTTTTATGTATGTTTTGCATGCTTCCTGAAATAAAGATTGGAATAACATTATTGACGGCTAATGCCGGGCAATCACAGCTTCGTACGACGGTCGTAAGACTGTCGCACGACGAATCCATATCCGCTCCCTGTGAACGTTAGACGACGCGACGTGATTGCCGGTGGCAGTCTGAACGGATCGTCATTGAAAACGGTACGTTGCGTGTGCGTCATCGCGTTGCGTTTTCATAGAATCGCGTCGGCCGTCGACCCTCGGTTGCAGTGCGTGCCCTGCACTATGAACAGTAAATATTGGCAAAAGACAAGCCAAACCAGTCACTCTTCGCAAAAATCATTCTTCAGTAATAAAAGTGAGAGCTATCAAATTCTAATAAAAGAATAATTTAAATCCGACATTTCGATACGAAATTACACGAGTTTAAACATATAGACTGTTTAACAAACAATATTTGAGCAATCAGCCTTCAAAGTTTACGATTTCGGGCATTTCTTAGGCAGAAAGGTTAGTTTCGTGCAATAAAATAGATTTTCAAAATTTTGACATTCCAGCATGTTTTGGCCATCTCCGAAACAGGATCTGTGACGAGTGACTGTTTTGGCCTGGGTTCGCGATAAATAGATGATAAAGATAGATATCTATTTTGCTTTAACACCAGCCCATTTAGAACGTAAAGTTTTAAAATTGGGTTGAAAAGCTTGAGAACAAACAATTAAATATAGTACTTTGCTATTTAATACTTCCTAAAGATCCTTAAAATTTCTCAGAATTACATGTTGTTAAATGCATATCCAACTGAATGCCATAATGTTTGGACGACTATCTAACAACTTGTATTTTGATTGTAAATCTCTAACACTATCAGGCGATGTATAATTGTGAAATATGCTATAAAACTACGAGGTTGTGTGATCATCACCATTAATTAGGATGATCTCACAAGAATGCAACGGATACTTAACGATTGTAGAAAAACCCAGCAGTAACACACAAGGATCCTCACTGAAGAGATAGCAGTTAAAATGTATTCTAATGTTAGAACACCAGAATAATAACAACTAAGCTCACATACGGAGCCGTTTTTTAGACACAGCAGACCTATCTATCTCTTGCATAAGCTATTGATTTTCGATTATATTATTAAAAATGATTTATTTTATACATAATTCAAGCCGAAGTTTTAAGAAGCCAATTACAAAAAATCATTTGATTACTAATTTGACAGGGATGACGTGGATAATAGCATTATGGATGAGCGCATGCTACCAGAAAACTGTATTAATTTCAATGAAGGTAAATATTATTCATTATTATGATCGTCTTCACCATTATCATTGCCATCATCACTCAGGGGCATTATGATCTTTCTCATTATCAACATCACCAACTACCACCACTACCACCACCACCATCGTCATCTCCATAATCATTATCAATGTCATTATCGTCGTCGTCATCGTCGTTATCTTCGCCCTTGTCGTCGTCATCATCATCATCATCATCTTCATCATTATCATAATTATAATAGGGTTACCCTAGGCCTAGGTTGTGTCTTAAGTTTCTGTTGTTATTATTTATCGGATTTCCAATGCATGCATACGTACATTCGACGATATGGCCAAATAAACTGCTTCTTGCAATAATTTAATTACAATTCCCTCTATAGATATAATATATGATGAACTGTGAACCTTTGAGCCGAAATAGAGGCGTTCCAACCGCAATTCTGATTATTTGCACGCTTTAGCTTGATTTGCACATGCTCAATTGTTGCATAAAAAGGTTCTATTTCACACCCTCTTCGCAGACGCCATTTGGTTTTTGATTTAATGAGACGTGGATTTGGTAACTGCACATGCTCGACAACGTCACTTAGGCCTTTAGGCCTACTCAATACGCATACTCACTGTCTGTCCAGCATTTCCAAGCGCATGCTCACTCAGGGCCTTAGCCACCGGTACGGTTGGTCAGGTTTAAACCTGAATACTTTTTGACAGACCACAAGTTAATTGATTAGGTTTCAAATAGGAAAAAAGGCTAAATTCCAATCGTATGTTTAGACTAAACTTAACTCCCTCTTGACATAACTCAGGAACCACAAGTCTGTGAACTCAGGAGTGAACGGTTAATGATAGTTTACATTATTTTCTTCCCTTTAGTGTAAGATTAAAAATTATTTAGATTAAGAAACTTAAAGTTAAAATTCGGAGTGTATGTGGGCTTAGCTTTTATCCAAATAAAGTAGGTCAAGTACTACTCATACACAGTGAGCTTTTGTAGAAAATCAGACTAAAGTTCCTTTATACATTTACTTAGACTAAAATTCATTTCTTCACTAAATTACCTTGTCAATTGGCGAGAAAAATCCATGCCTTTATTTATTCCTGATAGTTCTAGTATGCAGCATTATTTTCTGTAAATGAATATACTGTAAATATACTTTTTTAAGCACTTCTCTTAAATACATTGTCAGAGGATCCAGAGTTTACCCTGACTATTGCACAGATGGGTACCCAAGGTGGGCGAGGTTATGGGAAGAGACACATTTTAGTGGGGATGGGCGAGGGTGGGGTCTTCAGCTCCTCCTTCAAAACGTGTTGTTTTCTAGGTGCTTTAGAATGGACTTTCGTGTATTATGAGACGTTTATTATTGAATACACTCGAGTTCATAGCGTTTCTCTACTTTACTATGGACAATTAATAATTATGATGATGATGATGATGATGATGATAATGATGATGATGCTGATGATGATGGTGATGATGATGATGATGATGATGATGATGATGAGGATGAGAAAGTAGTATGAAACCCATAGAATGTCAGTTCAGGCATTCATTTATCTGCCTGTGGAAATATAACAAATGAATAATACGAAATTAAAAGAATACTTTTATTTTAATAATAATACTAATTATAGGATAAGAATACTAATATTTTAACTTTTAAACTTCTAAACTTTGCGTAGCTCAATATACATTTATATTTTCTTAAATCATAAGGAAGTCTCGTTAAATTAGCATAATATAATACAGAGAATTTCGATTGTCTATCAATGTCAAACGTTTTATGCACGCACCGACGAGGAAAGTCTGAACATAATAATTTTAATATGTTTATATTATGTGTTCAGGCCCTGATCCAGTGGGGGCAATGAAGGCCCGTCGTTATCTTCGCCCTTGTCGTCGTCGTCATCATCATCATCATCATCATCATCATCATCATCATCATCATCATCATCATCATCATCATCATCATCATCATCATCATCATCATCATCATCATCATTATCAGAGCTACAATGGAAAAATAGCAAATATTCCCATGGTCTCCGGGTCCCTCGGCGGCCCACTGGCGGATCTCAGTGCTCACTTCACACCTTCCTGACCACTTCAATTCTCGTGGCTACGGCCCTGTCACTTTGTTTCACAGATATTTCAGAGACGGTTTTTGGTAGCTGCGCATGCACATTGTTAATTTTGGAATTATCATTTCTTCGTAACGTGGAGGTATGTTTGTAGTAAAAGCTACTGCTTACCTACAGTTACTTAATGACTGTGTCCTCTTGTTCATAGCAGCCTAAAGGTGCTGCACGAAACAATTCTAAGCTTAAAATAATTATATGTTTTAAATTTGCTCTTTTAGAAGTTCTATGTTACAAGTTTATTGAATCTTCCGGTGATATTAAACTAGATGCAGAAGAATGCACACGTCATAATACTGACTATGGGCTAGCAGATGTAAATAGCGCCCTCTTACTTGATGGAATTGCACAACTTGCAAGGTCAGACAGCATTGCTGACAGATATTGGCTGCGCGTGGGATCATCTTTGCAGAACATCCCACCGACAGGCCCATGTTCTACTTATAAAGATGATTCTACTCTTAATGATAATGAATGCACTTACCTTCAGATTAAGAACGATGAATATGAAGTCAGAAAACGCATGTGCCGAGATGCCTCAACCAATGACGGATTCATATGCCAAGGAAGGCTTGGTAAGTAAACTCGAAGAAACAATCAAGCTTGGCAACATCGAAGATAACGTTTCTCCCTGTTCTAATAATAAGTTAACTATTTTTTGAAAGATTGTAAGAGTTATATTATTTACTTCAGTCAGTTACCTGTAGATGCTTTTATTATCTACGTATCACTGAAATACACATAAAAGCAGGATCCGGGGAGTGGGGTAGGGAATAATACAGCTCTATTGTAAAAATGAATATTCAAATACTTTAAAGAAAAATAAATGGGAACGAAGAAGATACACATATTTGATAATTAAAAATACAGTATGGAGGGTATGGAAGTCTGTAGAACAAATAGATATCTTAATTCATTCGTACCACTTTCAATTAGAATGCTTAATCAAAATATCAAATAAGTTTTATGGCCTAATTATAATTTATTTTTTCCACTACTAGCTATATATTATTTATACTGATACTGCATTTTGTTTTGCGATGTGATGTACCAACTGATTTTCCCAAAGGACACAAATAAAGAATCTTGAATCCCCTTTCACCCAGTTGTTAAATGGTGTGATATAGGCCAATATGTATTTATAACACACCTAAATATAGACTTGTTATTGATCGGTTGATTTCGTATCACGTGACATTGGTTATTAACCGCATTTCGTCACTCATTATAGAAAATTAGTTCCACTGTGCATGTTTACATCCATCCGTTTTAGTTCATTGCGCGGTGCCTAGGGAGAAACGAAGACTTTTCCCGGAAGGTTAAATCGGCACCTATACGAAATTTAATCAATCTTTTGATTGGTTAAAAAGACGTTGTTCCCTTTAGAAAGTGGGTAGATTTAATTTTTAAATAAAATATGCAAATGACAAGAATCTCCTTTAAGAAAAAATGTAGATTCGTTTTCATAAAATATCAAATGGCAAGAATCTACTTTAGGTGTGTTATAAAACAAACAATGAATGTATTTTATTAGCTCATAAACATTTATTATTTATATTAATGTATAATAAAATGAAAATATAAACCCTTTGCCTAACATTATTGGAAACTTTTTTTTTCATTATTAAATTATTGCAACTTACAAAAAAAAAGAACCTCACAAAACATTAGGTACAAAAAGAAACAAATGCAAAAGGACAGGTTCCACAGGTTCGAAGTCCAAACTAAGGGCAAACGCCCTGGACGAAAAACATCAAATAACATCAAAAATAGACATAAACTCTCATATCTAAATACAATAAACATTTTTAATTATTTTGAATAAAATAAGTGCACACCTTCCTGCAAACACTAACTTTCACTGAAAGTTTCTATAAAACCTTATATTTTTGCTTACTTTGTATGCATGATTTTATATAATGTTCATAAAGTGGGAATTAAACTTTATATAGATTAATATAATTATTTTCACGCAGAGACAACACGAGACACACCAACGACATCATTGGACAAAATATTCACCGGAAGTGACGTCACAACTAAAGTAAAAATGGCGTCACAGGCTACTTTTAAACAACAGCCAAATGATTCTAAAATGCCGGATGCTGTTATACCAATATCAATCGCTTTAGCCGTAGCTGTCGTTTGTATTGCTGTCTTAGTAGTCATCATAATGTTGAAAAGACGAACACCAGACGACAGTGGATCTGGGACTAATCCTCAAAATGAACTTGAAAAACAAGGTAACAGACCTCAATTATTATTAATATTCGTATAATTGCTATATAAAAAAACAAACAGTCCACCTCATGTAGGTCTTAAATATTTTATTAAAAAAAGTTCATGAAAAAGTTAATTAATGTTATAACTTAATTTGTAATATATTGTAAATTGTTATTGTTATTTTTGCCTATAATGTAATGTATATTTTAGGGAATAGTCAAAGATTTGTTAAAGTACAGTCTGATCGAATTCATGTTGAGATATATGATGTGATACCAATGTCAATAAAAACGGAAATGACGAATTTGATACACACTTTTGAAACAGACATTGCCCTTTAAACTACAGTACAGATAGCTTATTATTTTATATAGTATATATATACATTATATATATATATATATATATATATATACTATATTATATACATTGCAATTATTATACAATGTAAGATCAATTTGCTATAATGGAGATAACTTTTTTGTAGATCCAGTGATAAACCAAGAAAACGAACAAGACTGTGCTGATAGTTCATCAAGCTTAAATCAGTATTCAAAGTATGAAACTTCTTTACCGGGAGACTATGCATACCTCAGTGATTATGTGCTCAAGAATCACGGCCCAGATTATTGTGTCGTAGAGGATGACGTTTATAATGGGAAATATGAATATCCGATGTTGCCATTATCTGTCGAGAATTCGAACGCTGAAACTCTTTTAAATGATCCTTCTTATGATAGTCTTGGCCCCCATTATGACGTGTTAAACCGCGAAGAAGAGGGGGAACAAGCGCCATCTGCTTATGATGATTTAGAGAACGGAGCAGAAATGCCCGAATATGAATATTCTTATGCTTATTATACTGATCTTATAAAGTGAAGTGAATAATTGATCAGAATCAGTTAGTATGTTTTTATTATTGTTATTTGCACATTACATACATTTTTCATAATTTATTTTCGGAGATCACATCTTGTGTTGAAGACACTTAAAATGAATACTGGTGTTGTATCATCATACTGTATAGTGTGAAATGATTGCCTCAAATGCGATTCAGACTTCCAACAAAAGATTCCAGTTGGTTGAGGTGTTTGCATAGAAACCTTCTGGTATAAATTAAATCCCAACCGCCTTCTCGCTTATTGAACCAGATATCAGAACTTGATTTATATATATATTTTTTCGTTTCCTATTTTTTCTTCAGTTCATAATATTACATAAAGTATTTTCCCATACCATATAATTCAAGATACTTTTGGTTTTAACACCAACAAATATAACTAATTTCTTATAACTAAACAATATGAATATTTATTAGACGCTGGTTGGAACGGGACGCTTACCTTTGCTTCTGGTGTGGTGGAACATGTCTTCTCGGATAAGGATTATAAACCGTACTTCCAGTGTACACAATTGACTCATGTGCACTTTAAACAACAAAGTACTGGTCCGTATAGCCCCTGTTGTGGACAGACTAGAGTAGCTGGTACCGCTTACCGGGTAGCTCAGACACAAACAGACCCTTAGGGGAGAAGAAAGTTACTGTATTAGCTTGTCCACGCTTCGAACGCTTTGAGAGTGTGGTGTACAGCGCTGTATAAATTCAACTATTCTTATTGTTATTCTTCTTCTTCTTCTTCTTATTATTATTATTAAAATTATTATTAATGTTATTATACAATTATTATTATTATTATTATTATTATTATTATTATTATTATTATTGGTATTTATATTACAAATACCATACTTACAACTTTCATTTCTATTATTATTATTATTATTATTATTATTATCATTATTATTATTATTATCATTATTATCATTATTATTATAATTATCACTATTATTATTATTAATATTATTAAGATAAAAGATATTTTAATATTTTCTATTGTATTAGTACCGTAGGTATTATAGGGCCTATCAGTATTTTATGTATAAAATTTAGTATATTGTAAATCTAAGCCTAAGTACTGTCGATGTATTAAAATATCGTCTATTTATATACCTAGTTAAGCAATACACCCGCTAACTTTGGTTTTATTGAATCAAATAAAGTCATAAGGAATACCGTTAAACATATAATATATTTATTAGAAGTTATTTCGAAGATTAGATATTGTACACTACTGTTGTTTTAGAAGACTCAAATCAACACTGCTTTCGAGACTCTTTGTCCATTAGACACAGTCCCTTTCAAACACATTTCCATCGCAAATATGTTGCTGTTCTTCTCCTCTTCTCCCGTTATGTATGGAGTAATGCTCGCTTCCACTAAAATACATTCATGCCTTAACTATTTTTTTTGGTCGTGTAACCAGCCCTACTAGCAACCTCTCTTAACTATTCTTGTTGTCGGAACTAGATATTAAGTTAGTTTACATACATTCTCTAATAACAATAAACCATACCTGTTCCGTTTATATTAATAAAAAAAAAAAAAAATCAAAAAAATCCAGAGAGGCTGCCACCATTAGAGTCATGTTATCAAAACTGGTATTTACACAAGTCCTCGTCATCATCAGCCAAACTGGCATGGAGCATACAATAAAATGTTATTATTTGTTATCCATTTGCGTTCAAACTTCATGACGTCATTGTATTTATTGAATAGAAGATTGGAATAACAATGTACTGTACTGTAAGCGCAACGAAGAACATGTTCTAGGTGCTTGTGCTTGTACAAGTCGATAGCTTTGCTCCGCATATAATGTAAGTTTATAAAGTCTACTTGATAGGATACAGAATATATATAAACGAATAGATAGAAAAAAAATAATAGTGCTCTAATAGGTATAAATATTCCGCATTATTTTGTGTGATTATCATGAGCGTTCGGAAATAGGATTTAGGCAAGAATGCAATAAAGCAACCAGGAAGTATGCGGAAATAGAGTATATCAATGGCGTATCGTAGAAAAAAATTATTGTATTTGTTCCCAATGCTAGCGAAGCAAGAAATAAATGCTGGGGTCAGGGGGCCGCCAAGTACTCCGGAGGTGGTGCAGGTGCGAAGCCCCTTGAAATATACTTCTGACGAATTTGGTGAATTTTATCTTTATTTGATAGGCATCACGCTACAATAATAACTTCACTGTTATTATTTTCCATTTGTTTGTGTTTTATCGTGCAAGGCAGCAAACCTAATTTCAATATTATTTGTGTGTGTGAGCTGTGTGGGAGCGTTTCAGTCAGTTGTATGAAAGTGGGGGTTAGATCTGCGCGAATACTAAATAGGCCTCCATTATGTAATTGGTATGCTACTCGCCTTGATAGCGAGAGGTTGCACATTTGAACCCAGGTTTTTTTTTCATACAACCAAATAAATGAACTTTTCGTTGAAGGGTTATATAGGCTATCTTGCTTCTCTCGAGCACTGTTGTCATTATTATTTTTTCTCATTTTATACATTTATTTATGTTGTGTTTACGGTGCAACGCAGCAGACTAATTTCAAGATGTGTATAAGAGACAGATATAGGCCTATGTGTGCAATGTGCATATATACTATATATAGAGGTTTGTAGACAAGGTGGTGACAAATCAATCAAGTTATGATAATCCTCAGTGCATTGGTTTAAATTCTCAGTATGGCGTTGCTTCAATACTTGTTTATCGTAATCTACATGTATACCATCATCAAAATGGCTCAACCGGCCCAAGAAAACATATTGAATATACACGGTAGTTTGGAAATTGACGGTAACAGAAAAATGTCATTACTTGACAGAAGGAAACGTATGGACGATTGTGATTTTGTATGTCGATGTTGGTAGGTACTCTTAATCTATTCTTTTTACCGTTATTTATGTTGTTTACCTATTTAATTTCATTAATGTGTGTTTTCATTATTTTGTTTGAGTCTGTAATGAAGTAAAAGGTAACACTACAGAGCTGAACGAGAAGCTTGTGAGATCTTTGGAAATTGCAGCGTATAGATTTGACCATTTAGCACACAAAAAATAATTAATTTACTGCATGATATGAAATCAATGTATAGATTGGATTTATTCGGAGTAAGCACCAAGGAGAGCCCACGAAAAGTTTATAAGAAGACTTATTTCAAGTGGGGTCATTGGGTTGTAATTGTTCAATACCGGAGACTATCCCATACTCTTTTCCGACGCGTTCTTGAACACAAAAACAAGAAATCCTTTCGTTAATTTGACAAGAATTTATTTCTACGAAGCAACACATGCACTAAGAAATACCAATGTCCATTGTAAAGATTGAGAAGAAAATTGTTTAAAAGCTAATTGCTAAAAAGTTAAATATAAATTTTTAGACTATACTATGTAACTGTTTTGATAGGCTACAATAGAAAAATAAACAAGTGTCCCCTTAATAGGTGTTAAATTGTATTGATTTTGATCATTCATTAAAAAAACTCTCCCGTCTCCTTAATAAGTGTGTTCCCTTAATAGGGATTGGCCATAGTGGTAAAAGATATATTTCCTCTCGTTTCACGGAAAACACATTTTTTATGTCGTGGGAGGGCGTATACTTGGCAATTTTGTAGAGGCGCTATATTTGTTTTGGTTTGAGGGGTAATTTAATAGTTTGCATTAGACAGGTGAATCCTCTCTTTGCTTTGCTTCCAAGCCTCGCACATCACTTTGATTTTCCCGCCAACCTCCCCTGCTTCCTCCATATTTATCAGTGCACTAGGTATGTGCGCGTGCGCCCAGATTGTTAGTAATTAATTAGTTTTTAGGTATATTGATTTGATGCTTAATTTGTTAAATTAACGTTTTACAACTCTTCATGTACGATTTATATTGTAATCGCCATTGAAGTATTTATGTATTGATCACGTGTCAGGTGTATGTCGAGTGCAACAGTCTGAACTTATATAGTCATTCTCTATATTTATCTTATATATTTATATATACTACTTATATTTAATCTTTAGGGGCAGCCTTATGTTCCCATTCTATAAAATGTTTAGATAATATAACGACATCAACGGGTGGCTGCCCCATTACACGTTTTGAGTTATCTATATATTAAACTGTCTTTCGTCATTGAATAAAATGACTAGTTCCATCCAATCCGGTGTTTGCTTTCTTTGTTTCGTCTTGTACTCGCGTCCTGCGGCATAAAATGTCTCCTTAATAGGATTTCCGCTGAATATGGGTGTCCCAAAGGAGGGGTTCTACTGTAGGGGATTCCTTATGGGCCTGTTTCTACGAGAAAGAACCGTTCATAAGAACCGTTCTTTTTCTGCTGCTTGTTCAGAACCATTATTATCCACGAGTCCGATAAACCTACGATATTATAATCTAAAAGGAATCAGTAAAACAAACGTTAAACTTCTGTTCTCAATACAATGAAACATTCTCTTAAAAAAAAGAAAATAAGAACAAAAGTTTAGCCCTCATTTACTTGTTAATTGTTACTCATATAGCGCTTCCTCCGTGCAGTTAGAAAGCGCCAACTACTCTCCACTCTGTAATATTTCCATCAAACAGCTCACTCTCACTCCAACCACAACTAACAAAGTATGCTTTTATGAGTCATAAAAACCAAAGTAAATCAATGGTAATAAAGGATAAGAATATTAAAATGAAATGAGTGTAAAAACTATTAAACCCAGCCCAACATGAAACTAAGTTGCAAATACAGATTTTAAGGCATGCCCTAAACTGTCTGACAAAGTTGAAGTTATTAATAGGAGACAGAATATTCTACATTCGACCGCGCTGTTAATGATGAGAAAGAGTCGTCGTCGATACGCCTAAGGAACATGGTCTGACAAGATGTATTGTGGATGCCGATCGAGGTGATCGAAAATGTGTACTTGTTAATAAATTCAGATATAGTATTGCCTATGGAATACGCCCGAAAGGAATTTGCAGACTAAATGAATTCGGTTATTCGACTCATAACCATTTCGACTCTGAACCAATGGAGTTCAGGAATAATGGGAGATGTGGGTACACGACCTTTATAAAAATGTCTGGCAGCAGTTTTTGCAGTGTAGTGTACGGGTCGGGTCGGACATGAGCTATTATTCGGATAGGAAGAATCATCATTGTTTGTATTCTGTTAATCGTGCAAAAGTATTGTTGTTTTATACATTTATTATTAAGATAATTCCGTTAGTTTAAATTGCATTCTGGGTAATTTTTACGTAATGTATGTAGAGAATCAGCCCGGTATCAAATACGGAATGGTTACATGTTGAGTCAAAATGCAGTTGCAAGGCGTTCCTTATCTTAGTAAACCGATAATTGTAAGAGGACAGTTTTTCTCTCGATTTCCAGTAGATCTACACCCTATTTCATTTCAAATTCTAATACAAAAAGGATAATCAGATTATATAATGTAGGTATATTTGGAAAAGATAACATAGCTTGTGCAATCCTTCATACTTTTCTTTTCATATATTATTATTGCATAAAGAATGATTTAAATATTTTTTACAGGAATGACGTGAATGGAACCATTCTTAAGAGCATGCTACCAGACCATTGTCTATATGTCAATCAAAGTAAATATTAATTATATTAAACACTATATTTATCATCATCTTTAATACAGATATTTCTGCATGACAATACCAACATTAAAACATTAAAAAGTCAATAATTTGACTAATGTACTATATATTTTTTTCATAACATGATTATCATCATCATCATCATCATCATCATCATCATCATCATCATCATCATCATCATCATCACCATCACCATAATCATCATCCTGTCAGGCCACTAAAACACTATTATTGTCAGTTTGGTGCCTGATTTGGCAAGTTAATTCCTCCTACTCTTTCTGGAATATTACGCAATTTGATTTCCCTCATTTCCCTTTTTTGCCCATCTCTTATGGTCCATTCGAACTACTTTGACTGTCCACTCCAACTACTTATAGACAGTTTTTCACAAACGCCTTTTGTATTAGGTGCTATCTGATTAAAAGCACTTAACAATAAAAATATAATAACTGTGATAATAATATTAATACTAAAACTAATACTACTAATTGTTATTGTTACAGTATTATTATCATTATTACGGTATTAATAAATATGTTTATTATATTATTATTATTATTATTATTATTATTATTATTATTATTATTAATAATAAATATATTATATTATGGTGTTATTAACATCATCATCATCATTATCGTTACTATTCTTACTACTACCACTACTACTATTACTGTTATTGATGTTATAATTTTCTTCTTAGTACAATAATTTCATAGACTCATTTAACACAGTTATAGAACCTCTCCTTTGGGAAAGCCCCTATTTAGTTGACACCCTTTATAAAGGGACACCTTTCTGGTAGCAAATAGAGGTAAAGTTTATCTTTTAACACTACGGACAACCCCTTATGAAGGGCACATTTTGTTAGTCCCGAAGGTGTCTCCTTTCTATGGGTTCTCCGGTATACAACATCTACAGTATTTATAAATACATCTTTTTTTTTGCTTCTAGATGAACTTCAATGTTACATGTTAATAACATTAAAAAGCAATAATATGGAAGCAGATCAAGAATGCACAAGTTATGGTTATGAGTTAGCCGATGTAAACAGCGCTCTCATTCTTGATGGAATTGCGGAATTTGTTAGATCAGTCATTACTAACAGGGGGCGAAGGCTTCCTCAAAGTTACTGGCTGCGCGTGAATTCAACTTTGCAGGACGTCTCGACGGCAGCAGGTTCATGCTCTACTTGTGAGGATTTTAGTCCTGATGATGAAGGTTGTACTTACCTGAAGATTGAAGAAGATAAATATAGAGTCAGAGAGGGCAGGTGCAGAAGCGATAATGACGGATTAATATGCCAATTAAAGTTTGGTAAGTTAACACAAACGAAGGAACAAAACAAGTTTGTGAACACTGAAGATAATGTTTCCATGATGATAGGCCTATAATATAATATATAATATAATATATCCATTCATTCTATTTATTTTATTATATTTATTATTATTTTAAGAGTACTGCTACTTACCTTTTTATATACACGTGACTATTTTTAAGTACCGTAGTGAGAAAACATATATAATTATTTCATGTAGAGCTAACACGATACATACCGACGACACCACCGGTCAAGATACTTACCCACAATGAAATCACAACAGTGAAGTCAAGTGGTGTTACTTCTACGCGGCAGTCAGAACAAGATGTATCTAAGATGTCGAATGTTACACTAATAGGCCTAGCAATTGCTTTAGCAGTAGCTGTCGTTTGTATTGCTGTTTTAATAATCTTATTGCTTAAAAGACGAACCTCCACAAAGGGGGCACCAGGTACGAGTCCTCTAAAACAAGAGATACATGGATACTTGCTAATCGTTATATTTGTATTTTATATGCTATACGGTAATAGTTATCAGTAAACCACCACCTCCTTAAATTAGCCAAAAATTAGGAAATAAATATTTATGATATGAATTGTATATTGTTAAATGATTCTTTTATTTATAATAATTATTTTAAATTATACATCAGATTTTAAGAATTTTATAATAATATGTAAACCAACTAAAGCTATTATAAACAGAATTATCATGTTAGTAGCCGACACTTATCGCCACAACCAATCGCTAATTTAAACAAACCAAAGGTGCTTGGAAAATTTAGGAACCACCATCCTATAAATATATTACATGTGTAAATAAGATTAATATATGCATAATGGTAGTTGCTATAGTAACATTAATAATAATTAGATTGATGATGATTATAACGACCATGATAATGATTATAACGATAATGATGATGATGACGATGATGATGGAAATAATTAATAGGCTTAATAATAATGGTAATATACAAACATAAACAATCCAATCATTCTGGCATATAACTACATTTTTACTTAACGATTGCGTGTTAATTAAAAAAAGTTCATCAGACCAATGCACGAGCCTACACATTTTACATAAACATGCACAAATTTTACAATTTGTAATTAATGTTCTACAACGTTTTTTTTCTCTTAGATGTGTCAGCAACCCAAGTGAATCAGCAAAGCCATGATGATAAATCTTCAAACCTGTATCCGACCTATGAATCTTCTTTACCAGGAGACAATGTGGGCCTACACCATAGTGATACTGCGCAGAAGGACAATAACCCGAATTACATTGTTGTAGAGGGCGATGTTTATAATAATTTGAAACCTGAAACTGTATTAAATGATCCTTCGTATGATAGTCTTGGCCCTCAATATGACACTTTAAACCGCCAAAGCGAGGTGAGTTTTAACGCTTAGTATAACGTGATAAACCGCAAAAAAGATGGAGAGCAATCGCCAGTTGTATACCCGGAAGATGTAGAAGATGAAATGCCTGAAGATGAATATTTCTATGGTGACTTCAAACAGTGAGAATTTGATTTGATCAGCAGTTCTTAAGCTCTGTCCAGATTATCAAATTTTCGTTGACCAAATACTGTTGTATGACTATAATATACTCATGTGTTTCTAAATTTTCATGATGTGATGTCGTCATGACCGTATTTTAGGCACGTCACATGCTTTGGCAAATAAAATGTAATAGTCTGAGAATGGCTTACAATAAAAAATGCGAAAATAATATTTTATATAAATATAAATATAAATATTTTATACATACGTTCTCGTTTGTAAATATTATATGAGTGTCACTGAAATTTTTATTTTTACAGTACATCTAGATGTGTATAAGAGACAGTATATATACCTATATTGATAATAGTTTTTTATTGAATATCAAACAAAAATATTTAAAAAAATAGCCTATTGAGATCTACTGTATTCCATTTTTGCTGTAATCAATCAATCAATCAATCAATCAATCAATCAATCAATCAATCAATAAGATCATAAGGAAGCAAAGAATGTTTTAAAGGCAAAACGTAAATAGGCCATTAATTTTATTTTTATTTGTTTATAAAGGATAATAATAATAATAATAGTAATAATATTAATAATAATAATCGTATAATAATAATAATAATAATAATAATAATAATAATAATAATAATAATAATTTGGCTTTTGAATTATTTTTACATCATCTATACAATAATGATATTGAAAGTTGCTTTCAATCGGACTTAAACTTCTAAAGAAAACGCCATGGACCCAGTTGGTTAAGGTGTTTGCGTATAAAACTCCTGGTTTTAACTTTAAAATGATGAAACTAAATACTTTTAACTAAACAAAATACTGAATATTTTTGTTTGATTTGTTATATATATTATACACAACTAACTATTGTACACACATGTACTATTAACACAACATTGTACACACATGTACTATTAACACAACTAACTATTGTAGATTATAATGATGATTATGATAATGATGTTGATTGTTTGGTTTTTTTTCTTGCTCTTTCCATACGCAAATCAAAAGACCAACCAAATACAAAAGGAAATTTAACATCACCAAAAAACAATTTACAGTATACATCATAATCAATTAAAAGAGAAATTGAAAGGAAAAGGGCAATATATATATATATATATATATATATATATATAAAGACGACAATATTTTAATATTTCCTATTTTATTAGTATTATAGTTGTATTTTATGTACAAAAATGGTTTACTGTAAATATTGGCTTAAATACTGTCAATTTATTAAAAATCTAGCAAGATAAGCAATGCATAAGCTACCTTTAGTCTTATTGAATCATGTCAAAAGACATACCCTAAAACATGATATGTTTTACGTTATATCTTATGTCTTATAATATTTTTGATAGAAATTTTTCGAAGATTACATTGTACACACATGTACTATTAACACAACTAACTATTGTAGATTATAATGATGATTATGATAATGATGTTGATTGTTTGGTTTTTTTTCTTGCTCTTTCCATACGCAAATCAAAAGACCAACCAAATACAAAAGGAAATTTAACATCACCAAAAAACAATTTACAGTATACATCATAATCAATTAAAAGAGAAATTGAAAGGAAAAGGGCAATGCGCAGAAGGAAAAAATACAAAAAAAAAATTTAAAGAAAAGGTAACGGAAAACCAAATAGGAAAAACAGACAAGATAAAAGGAGACAAGAAAAAATGAAACAAGAACGAGGTTTACAAGGACCATATTAAGACAGAACATCAAAAAGAAACCCCCCCCAAAAAAAAAAAAAATGAAAGAAAGAAAAGGCAAGGAGAGCAAAGGATAAACATCTAAATCCGAAGGTTTGTTTCCTGAGGAGTCCCATTGAAAATAAAGATAGGATAAAAACAAGATAGTTAAGAGCAACCCGAAAAAGTCATAAACAAATAAATAAATAAATATATACAAGCCTATAAATAACTTAAACTATTTTTTTTTATATTCAAAGTTTTATTTTATTTATTATTATTTATTATTATTATTATTATTATTATTATTACCATTATTATTATTATTATTATTATTTTAAATAGTTTTTGACATGTCGTTTAAAGGTAGACCAAACATCCAGAGCTTTAATATAAGTTGGCATGCTGTTCCAGAGAATAATACTATTATGAAAAAAAGAGGAGGATATATGGACTGAATTTTACGGTGAAGCTGAAAATCGAATATACTTCCACTTGTATTACACTGATGTCTATCCGAAACTTTTAAAAAAGTCCTCGAGCATATGAAAGAGATTTGTCATGTACAATATTAAAAATATGATAAAGTTGAAGCTGCAACTCTATTTTCGATAAAAGGATATCCAGCAAAATTAAAATCAGAAGGTGTGAGGTAATACCCAGAATCAAAACTATATTTTGGGCTCGTTGAAGTCTATTTGATGTGTATTTAGAGATACAATAGTACCATGAACAACAAAAATAGTCAATCAAACTGAGTGGTTTCAACCATACACAATGAGCCATGTAATAATAATAATAAATATTTTCCAGGATCAGCGGAAAACCTCTTTGTGTCAATGTGCGTAGGTACACCCCAATGGGTGCCGCTCGGTCCGCGTAGTAATTTCAATCTATTTCATTTCCTCGTGTGGATATATAAACGGGACCACTTTTCTGGTTGCGGATTGAAATTACCCCGCTCCGTGAACCGATAACTCCTGACTACAGGCCTACTCCAATACAGAAGACGAATACGAACTTTTGATCGTTTTTTAATCATATTAATTTTTCATGTATACAATGCTGTAAAGAATTGCCAATAAAGATTAATTAATAACTCCACTGATTAGAAACAGGCTTGTCAGTAGATGGCTGGGGCAGTTTTAGCAAAATATGATTGCCAGCAGAGGGCTGGGGCAGTTCACGCTTCTTCTTTCTTTATTATCCAAAAGACAAAATTTAAACATATACAATGGAAAAAATGAGATAAAATATCCTTTAGATAAAAGGAGGTTGAAAAGAGACAATTTATGCCTATGGAGCTCAACATCCTATAAAATCAAATCAAATAAATAAAAAGCTTCAATAATAGTAATAACAATAGTAATAATAAGCCAAAAACATGCCATAGAGAAAAATCGAAATGGAAATCGAAGTACAATCTTTTATTGTAATAAAAACTCTTTGAATTTGGTTTTGAAGGTGTTTCTGTATTTAATTTTTACGAATGTGTATTGGTATTTTATTACATATTTTGGTGCATACAGAGGTAATTGAAATTGTCCAGTTGTTTAAATCCTGAGGCAATTTATCATAATAGAGATGAAACATACATAAAGAGATACATAATTTGTGTAACTTAAACACATCTAGCAAATTCAATTTGATAAACAAAGAAAGATAATAAGAGGTAAAATCACTGAATGTTATTGTTCTTAATGCCATTTTTTTTAGTAGTATGATAGGCTGTAAATACGGTGGGTAAGTGCTGCCCCATTTTAGCTAAAATCGGTAAAACAGAAATGGGTCTGTATTTGTTCATAACATCTTTTTCTCCTTTTCAAAAAACAGGATACACCTTTTTAATCTTCAATGCATCAGGAAAAACCCTACTAATAAATGATTGCATTGAAGATGTGCTCAAGTGGTCTAGAGATAATAGAGGCAGAGTCTTTGACCAAACGTCCAGACATGTAATCATAACCGCATGATTTTTTTTAAATATCTATATTGTTAATTATTTATTATCATTAACGTTAGTATTAGGTTTCCGATAAATAATACCTACTAGTGTTTCTATGTTGTTTTTAATTGTGACTTTTAATGGTCATCAACTTTATGAGGTTTTTGAACAGAATGATTGATGTCAAAGAGATTAACTTTATCATCAACGTTACCATTCATTTTGTTTAAGGTAAAGAGAAAAGGGCGCAAGGTAAATGCAATACTACAATAGACAAAAGTAAAAAGTCACTAAAATCTTATACCAAGATCACAAAGCAATTAAACCCTACGGAGCCTTTAGTTTTATACGAATGTAAATTGGAATTATTGGATTTACTTTCAAAGCATCAATTAAATGTAAAGACATGCTGCCACATAGACTTATGGTCGGTTTAGTTTTCCATTTCTTGGTCCATTCCGGTGGGATCTATCAATGTCGTGGATATCAATGTCAATTCCAAGTTTGCTGTTCGCCATTTTAACAATATTTTCATCTGTATTTTCAGCATAGATTCCGGTAATTCAAACACTCTTAGGCTATTTCTCCGTGAGTATTGTTCGAGATCATCCAGTTGTTTTTCTAGCTTTTGCTGTAGTTTATCACTGACAGTCTGCTTTCAAAATACTCAAGCTTGGTCTCTATTCTCTCTACAGCTTTTCTAACCGTTTTCTCTAATAGCCTAATAAAATATTTGCGTATCAAATGCTGTAGATATGGAGTCTAATAATATTGGCAATCACTGGGCCTTTGAATGCCTTAATAATGATGTCGTCAATCAGCTTTGTTAGGTCTGGGCTGTGTATGACGTCTGTTAACGTTGCTCGTACCTGTTTCGAACGACGAGTTATTTACGGGAAAAATAAAAAAATTCGGAAAACACCATGTACATTAACTTTAATTTAATTTTGTATTTATTGCACTGCAACAAACATATTTACTAATCGGGTCTGGGAGTTTTCTTTATAGACTAGAAAAAAAATCTGAAACAAATGAGTTAGGGGGAGTGGAATGTTAGAAGCAATCCACATAGCCAGATATCCTAATTAATCCCTTCTGGTCACCCTAAGCCCTGTTGAAACTTGATTTTACTCCTTGTATACAAATGGCGGCCATTTTTCAAAATGGCCGCCAAATTTATCTAAAATGTGCATAAAATTGAAACTAAATAAGCTACAGATATGATTTTGGTGTCTAAACTCATAATTTCTAGACAGGCAACTAACTAGACATATAAAAACTGCTGTCACTCAAGCCAGAATGGAACATAATTAAAAATAGGTGTTTATTTGTTTAAAAATAATCGCAAAATATACTTATTTAAAATGTACATAAAATAAGAACGAGTATATAAGCTAGTTTTCTATGTAATCCAGATAAATTTTTGAGCAAAAATAGATTTTATTGACTAATTTTATCATTTTTACTGCGCTGAATTGAAAAAAGTTAGGTGCCATTTTTTTCCCAAAGTCATCGGCCGCCATTTTGAATTTCAAGATGGCTGACGCAACACATAAAACATGGTTATGATTGGTGTCAATGGAAAGCAGTGGTGGATCCAGGGTGGGTGGGGGCGGTTC